AGACCTGATATAGTAACTAGGGTTTTCGCATTAAAAGTTAAACATCTACTTAAACCTATTGTTGATAACAAATTATTTGGAAAAGTCAAATCTTATGTTTATGTTATTGAATTTCAAAAGCGAGGATTTCCACACATTCATTTGTTAGTTATATTGAAAGATAATTCTAAAATATTAACAGTTAAAAGTGTTAATCGTTATATTTCTGCAGAAATTCCTGATGAAAATATGATTCCCATTTTACATAAAATTATCATGCAAAATAATATTCAACAAAGAATTCGTAAAGTAAAAGTATAGGGAAGAATGTATTCAGTTAATTCACATCAATTGGAGTTATTTCATCTTAGATTATTGTTGCTTACAGTAAAAGGAGCAACTTCTTTTGAAAGTTTGAGAACAGTTAATGGAGTTGTTCATGAATCTTTTACAACTGCTTGTTTGGCATTAGGACTTGTAGAAGATGATAGTGAGTGGATTAGGACAATCGAAGAAGCTGCATTATGGATGATGCCTCATTCACTTCGCCAATTATTTACAAGAATTTTAATTCAATGTCATCTTGTACATCCGGATAAACTATATATGGGAACAATTTAAGGGTCAAATGTCAGAAGATTATTAAAAAATAAACGACATTGAAGCTGAACAAAGGGCTTGTAGAAATATTTAAACAATGTTATTTAACGAAGGATATAATTTAACTAACTTTCAGGGGTTATTAGATATACAAGATGAAATTTTTACTGAACAAGTTAATAATATAAATATTGCAGAACATATTAACGTAGAAGAACAGAATTATGCTAAATAAAATGTAAAACAAAAAATTGTAGTTGATTATGTACTTTATCCCCTAAAGGATTCTTCTTTTGATGGTTCTATGTTAATTGTTAAGAAGTAAAGGAATAAATGTTTGCAACATGGCATTTACAGGTATAGCTGCGACTCTGCTTCCTAATGGAAAAACTGTTCATAAAATTTTAGGCTTACCCGTTCCATTATACAGTGATTTATCTTCAAACATTAATGTTCAATCTTTAGAAGGCCTCTTTTTAAAAAATATAGATGTTTTTATTTGGGATGAAGCACCAATGGCTCCAAAATATGCTTTAGAAATTATGGATTATCTATTCCAACGAACCTTTTGGTGGTAAAATTGTAATTCTAGGCGGAGATTTTCGACAAAATTTACCAATTAAAGAACGGGGTACTAAATCAGAAATAGTAAATTTATCAATAAAAAATAATAAACTAAAGAAATATTTTTAAAAATACACATCAACAGATAATATGAGAGCTTTACCACAAGAAACGGAATTTGTAGATTTTTTACTTAAAGTTGTCAATGGTGAATTAAATGATGTTTTATTACCAGAACATATTATTAAAAAAGGGATTAGGTACACAAAATTTAAAATAAAATTTAATTCTTTAAAGATAAAATGTTTTTAATAACTATGTGTGTATCTTTAGAGTAATATTAGAAACTTTTCGGTGTAAAAACATTTTCATTTTTAATAGCAGAAAGAAAAGGGGCGTGCGTAGCGCGCAAAAATAGTGACTAGTATATATAATTTGATTTAATAATAATAATAAAAATTTATTTCATTAATATATCAAAAACAATTTATGTTTATTAAATAAACCCTAACTAAAAAAATTAAATTTAAAAAATTATAATAAATATATAATAAATAAATGTAAATAAATAATTTAAAAAATCAATTTTTATTTTATCATACAATGAATATATAATAAATAATATAATATTTCGTATTAGTATTAAATATTCGTTTTTTATATCACTATTTTTTAATTTATATACCTTCTATTTTCTCTTTGTTTTATTCTTCTTCTCAAATTCTTATTTCTATTTTTCCTTTCCTTTTTCTTTTCATTTTCATCTTTTTTTTCTTCATTTTTTTTGAAAAATAGATTTTTCAGAAATCCGAAAACTAAAATTGAAAATTTTTCTTAACATTAAAATTGATTTTTATATAAAAAACCACTAAATAAAATGTATCATTATATTAAACACGATTATTTATTATATTTAATTTAAACTAAATTTACCCATGTTGATCCTTTCAGTTTCAAACAAATCTAAACTGACAATTAGTTGTCAATTAAAAGTTACACATAAAACAATTGATTTTATTTTTCAAATGTTTGAATTCCTTTCTTTTTATCTTTCATATTATTTGATTTCTGTGTTAGAATTTATTTTTCAAAAAAGAGTTAATCTTTAAAATATTTATTAAAAAAAAAAAAAATTCTAAACGAAAAATTTATTTATTTATTTATAACTTTACTAATTTAATGACTAAGTTTCATTAAAAAAATTAACGCTATGCAAAATTCAAAGTTGATTGCAATAAATAAAAAAGTAAAAAATTTTCGAATTTTTGAAAAAATGACATAACTTTTGTCTATATTAATATTTTTTAATCTACTATCGCTAGGATTTTAAGTTAGGCTAATGCCTAAAAGACTGCCAAGTTTCACTTCAAACGATCGAACCGTTTTTCCGTGATTCGCAGTCGAAAATTTGCGGACATACATACACACATACACACATATACACATACACACATAATTTTCTTAATAGTATTTTCGCATTCCTTAGAGTGTAAAAAGAAGGAATATAATAGAAATTTTGAATTCTATGCAATGTACAGACAAAAGTCTGATTTTATTAATGAGGATATGTTTTGTGATTAGTGATAAAATAAATAAATATTGAATTTTATTGTGAACTGAATGTATTTTGTCAGTTGTGAAATTTACAAGTATTTAATTTTTATATTTGCAAGTAATAAATAATATTGTATATATATATATAAAGGTACTTGCTCAGCTCGCTGCTATCTGCGCTGGCAGCTGAGATTCTACGAGAGTAAGGGCGTAAGAAAATTCAAATTAATGCTTTTTCACTCTTATGGAGCGTTCAGACCTTTGCAGCCTGGCCGTCTGTCTGCAGGTTGCCATGGTAACGTACAAGAGTAAGAGAGTCAGGAAATTCAAATTTATTACACCTTCTTCCTTACTCTTATTTCTTTTGGCTGTGCAGGCAGACAGCCTGCAGAGGTCTGAATGCTCCTTTATTCTCATTGAACTTTGTCCTTGAGTCGAACTTTTAGACCTGCTTACCTCCTGGTAAGTATAATTTAACCCTAACCTGCACCTAACAAACCCTTGGTGTTTTTTTCCTCCTGCGTAAGTTCTATTTAACTCTGACAACTCCTTTTCAAGTCCTAATTGAACCTAAAACCCTGTATTGCTTCTACCACATTCTTACGCAATAGGAAATGTTACGCGCGGTACAAGATATTCAACTTATTATTGTTTTGCAAATTACAAAATTTTTTATTTTGAAAATTTCACGAAAGAATTCAATTATTTTCTAAAATTTTAATAAATCCTTCGAAAAAATTCAATTATTTTTATAAATAGTAAAATTCTTCCGAAGAATTCAATTAATTTTATAAATAGTAAAATTCTTTGCAGGAATTCCATTATTTTTAAAACAATTTTAATTGAATTCCTTAGATGAATTCAAATATTTTAAAATATTTTCATAAATTGCAATTATTTTCTTAAACTTTAATAAATTCTTCGAAATAATTCAACTATTTTTATAAATACTAAAACTCTTTGCAAGAATTAAATAATTATTAACCCAATTAAAATAAAATTAAACGAAAGAATTTAATTATTTTCAAAAATTCCCATAAAATTTAGTTTCAACAAGAATTTAAATTTTTTGAAAAACAATTTAATTATTCTCAAAATATTTTTAAAAAATTCTATATAAGAATTAAATTACTAGCTCAATACAATTTTTGAATATATTCGTCAAAAGAATTGAAATAATTCTATTATTTTCGAAAAGTAATTAAAATTCTTATGATGAATTCAATTATTTTGAATATACTTAATTTTAATAAAATTCTTTAATCACACAAATTTATTTTTAAACTAAAAATCTTTTTTTTAAACGTATTAATGAAAGTTTAATTTTCAGATTAAATTTTATGGATTTACACAAGAAGGAGCAAAATCTGGTGATTTATGCGCATTTGGAACAACATCGCCGTATTCCTGATTTAAAAAACGAGTACATTATTTCGGAAAATAAAAGAGTTTTTAAATCAACCCGCGTGGAAATAGAAAGTATGGGATAACTATGGATGAAGTTTTTTTAAGATTTCACCCAAGATTAATGTGCAGTGGCTCAACTATGGGTTTTGTCCAAATCCCATAGTTAAAGTTTGGCTGTCTATAAGTCCAACATTCGATGAAATTTCGCCGCAAGTTGTGCCATACTATGAGTCAAGAATGAAACAGTCGATGGAATTTCGCCGCTACTTGTGCCAAACTATGGGCAAAGTATGGGACTTTTTAAAATCACGTAATTTAATTGCGCAATTTAATTCAACTACAGATTAAACTGCATTTTTTTTAGACTTTCTTAATTTAATATGCGATTATAATATAAAAAAGAAAAAAGAGAGAAAAGAAAAGTTGAGAAAATAATATTTTCCACAATATTTGGTTTTTCAAATATCTATAATTTTGTAATTTCTGATCGAATTTAGTTTATAAATAGGAAAATCGAAGTTATGAGACTTTTAAAGTTACTCCTACATTTTTAAACAATTTTAAAAAGCCTTATTTTTTAAAAAGCTATGGTCAAAAACTTTTTTTTAAATTGAAATTGCAAAAAATATAGGTAAACTTTATGAATTGGAATAAAAATACTTTTATTTCATGTCTCCGAGAAGATCTAAAATTTAAAAGAAATTGAAGCCTGTCTTTAAATTTAAAAATTAAATAATACAATTTGGTAGTATTTAAATTATTAAATTAATTATTTTATTTAATATTAATATTAAATTAATATGGCTTAATATTAAATAGAAGAGAACGTTAATATAAGTATAGATTCAAGTGGTTTCTAGGTAGAACAAGCACTTTTTAAATAGTCTTTTAGCTATTTAAAAAAAGTAATGAAAATTGTAATGTAATTTAAAAAAATTTTGTTTTTTTCTTCTTTGGCTCTTCAAGATTTTTTCCATGTTCACTTTCATGCTCACTGTCATCCTCTTCATTCTCAGTATTCTTATCAAGTTCACTTTCTGATTCTTCTTCGCTATCGTTATCATCATTAGTAGTCTCGGAATGTTCACCATTCTCTGCAAAACTATTGTCGTCTTCATTCACTTCATCTTCGCTATTTTTTTCACGGTGACTATCTTTTTCATTTGTTTTTTTATTTATATCTTTTTCATTATCATTAACCTTTTCTATTTCTGAATGATCTTTTTTTCCACCTTTAGGATTTCTCAAAGTTCCACATTGATAATTTAAGACAGATCTAAATTCCACCTCAGTAAAATGTTTGTTTCTAACGTGCACATATTCTAAAATTTAAATATTATAATATTGAAAATTACAAAAAATTCTTGTTGTATTTACAAAAATGATTTAAAATTTCCTCTATAACTTATAAAAATCTATATTATATGAATATACTAACTATAGACATTAGCTCTTATATTTTCGGGAATTCCATTTCCTGTTTTTCCGAGCGCTGTCATAGTTTTTAATTTTTCAGGTCCTACTAATTCCAACATTAATTGACGAGTTAATTCCCTTGGCTTATGTCTATATCGCTTCATTAAAAACAGTTTATTTTCATTTATAAGGATATCCGATCCTTCAAACAATGGCGTCATATTAGATGTCTTTAAGGAATTTTCCATTATCTGTTATAACCAAATAAGTTAATTATAACGAAAACATATTTTAAAATATAGAATACAAATTTTAAATGCAGTACTCACAGAAGATATTACTTCACCATTTTGATTTAAGGACATTTTAGTAAATTTTAATAGTATCTCACAAAAATTGATAACTTCTGGTGTAACTAAAAAAAATTCCGAAAAATTATTATTATGCGCTAAATTTAAATCTTTAAATAATTTAAAATAATTCATTTTTTCTTACTTTTTGCTTTCAGTTCATCGAAGAGCAAATTAATTGATTTCTCATGTTGTGTGGTATTATTTTGAGAATCTTCGTTTGTATTACCTAATATATTAAATTTTTTTGTCATTATTTTAAATTAATTAATTTTTCAAATATTTCACTAATAAAATAATTTCAATAATAAAAATATTTTAAATAATGTGATTAGATAAATTAAAGAAATAAATGATTTAATAGTATAGATTATAAATAAAGATAAATAGCTTAAATCACTCTTTAACAAATTTAAAACTGAGTATAATTCTATAAAAGAATAATTCTTTGGTTTTCCAAACACTATAAAATATGTAATTTTTTAATGTAAATTACCGGAATTTGATAGCTGTTCGGAAGTTGTAGATGATTCGGAAGAAAATTTTGACTTTGTAGACTTTTTGGAGTTTGATGCTAAATTTAAAGTTGCATGTAATTTGGAAGTTGAGGACAATTTTGACGTTAAAGGTGGTGTAGAAGTTAAAACTAATTTTGTTTTTTGGGGCAATTTGAAGCTTAATGACGATTTTGAATTTGAAGTCGATTTGAAAGTTGAATTTAATGCGGAAATTGAGGTCAATTTCGATGTTAAATTAAATTCAGTAGTTGAAGGCGATTCAGTAGTTGAAGGCGATTCAGTGGTTGAAGGCGATTCAATAGTTGAAGGCGATTCAGTAGTTGAAGACGATTCAATAATTGAAGGCGATTCAATAGTAAAAGGTGATTCAGTTGATGAAGGCGATTCAGAAGTTGAAGGTGATTTGGAAGTTGAACGTAACACAGAAGTTGTAGGCAATATCGATGTTGAAGGAGATTCTACAATTGAGAACATTTTGGAGATTTGTTTTTCATCAGTCTTATTCATCTTAACATTCTTTTTTCTCTTCAGTGCTAAATGAGCTTCGTCCCTTTTCATTTGATTTTCTAATTCTAATTTTTCTTTATTCTTCACACTCACACTTTTATTAGCGGTTTTCTTATCTGCATCCTCTGTAAAATTTTGAAAGATTTAATATAATTCTTCCACAAAGATTTTATATATCTATAAATTGGATAAAAGTTAAAAGAAAATAATATATTTAACAACCGCAAATTAATGAAAAATTAGAAATTTCTTTTTGTATAATTTTATTCGTTTGGGCTCTCATTCTCTTTTTCAGTGCTAAATGAACCTTGTCACTTTCACATTGACTTTTTAATTTTTTATCATTAATTTTTGTTATTTCTTCAGCTTTTGTTTGTTTACTATATTTTATATTATTGACACCATCACTTTGAACATCATTTATACAATCAAAATTAGTAGTTTCATCATGTTTATTATCTATACAAAATATATGGAAATAGTAGTAAAGATATAATATAAAAATTCTGAAAAATGTCATTTACAATTTACAATTTACTTTTAAAAAATTAAATATTCTCTAAAATTTTAATTACTTTTATTTTCGTGGAAATGTAAAAAAATTAAAATTTTAAATTTACATTAAAATTAAAAAATGTAAGTGTACATATTTAGAAAAAGTATTAAATTTAATTAACATTTAACTATTAAGTGAATATTGTTACTTCTATTTGTTTTCATTAATTTGCAAATTCTTATTTGCAAATGCATCGTTAAATTTATATTCCAATTTATTTAAAAATCCTTTTAGAAACACATAGAGTTAAAACATATTTATGTATTATTTAATTTACCACAAATTGGGTGCAGTGATGAAATTTTTTTTTCTAAAACTGATTTTGTTTGCTCTCTCATCTTCGTTTTTAATTTTAATTGAGCCTTCTCCTTCGTGGATTGAGTTTTTACTTTTCTGACATTTCTATTTTTCTTCTGTTCAGTCGTGGTCCCGTCTCTATTTACATTTCTGCTCATTTTTTCTAAAAAGTCTTTTGACTCTAAAATAGGTACATGAAAATTATAAATATTTTATTTACAAAATTAAAAACTCTATTTAAAATTATGTATTATTTTTTTCTACAGACTGTAGAAATAAGTAAGAGTGTTGCTATTATTTTTATAAGAATAATAATAATATTAATAATAATAATAATAAATTAAGAAAAATGTATATATATATGCTCCCGCAATGGGTAAAAAAGCCAAAAGAAGTAACGATAATGGAGAAAACTAAGATCGCAAAATAAATAAATGAGGGAGAAATATTTAAAAAATTAATAAAAAAAAGTTAAACTAAAAAGTAAATTGCAAATTATAAATGAAATTTTGCAGAAGTGAATAAAAAAAAAATAATAATAATAATAATAATAATAATAATAATAATAATAATAATAAAATAATAATAATATTAATAGAAATATTAACAATAATAATAATGAAATAATCATAATATTAATAAAAATATTAACAATAATAATAATAACAACAATGATAATAATACATTATTTGTAAATAATATAAAAATATATTATAAAATAACAGTAATAAGTTTTTTATAAAAAATAATATTATTTTAGTGACAATTGTAAATAAACATTATTATTGTTTACCACTCCTTTGAAGAAGAGTTGCTTTAAAAACTCCTTTTTTCGGATAGTCAATATCAAATATTTCTCCCTCATTTATTTCTTTTGCGCTTTCAGTTTCCTCCATTACTGTCACTTCATTTGGCTTTTTTACCCATTGCACGAGCATATACATTTTTGTTTCCATTATGTCAAAGTGAAGCTGCCTATATTTCAATGCTGTCAAATCTCGTTCACGAAACTTCGTTGTCAAGGGCAACGTAACATATAGACTTACATATGTTTTTTAAAAATCAAACTGCCTTTGTTTCGCCGCTAATTTCATCAAGTCAATGTCAAATTAAATCGAATCGAATTTTTTTGAAATTTCAATTTGCATTAATAAAGTCAATTTGTAATCTTTTGCTTTAAAATGCCACGAGTTCGAGATTTTGAATTATTTAGCAGAAAAACGCAATTGCGAATTGCCAACGATTTAACCGAAGATTCAGATTTTTCAGATTTTTCTAATTCAGTAAGTGTATGTAAAATTTTGAGAGCCAAATCCATGTTTTCCTGTTTTTAGAAATTAAGCGGTGATTTTTTATATTTAGACTGATGGTATTGGAGATAATGAAGCCTCAATAAGCGATAATTCTAATGTGAATATTCATAGTGACGAAAGCGAGATAACTGACGAAGGTATAAGATATATAGAAAACATTTTGATTATTCTATTAATTTTTATGAAACCAACGTTTGTTCGACGAAAAATATAATACGTAACAATTTCAATTTCCCCGCCTCAGATCCAATTTTTTTTTTCACTTTTACAAAAAATACTAATGTCCGGAATTATTAGAAATTATTTTCAAGTGGAACCAGGTCGGGGAGGGCAACGATTTTTACATTCTTTTCATCACGGATTTTTCGAAAATTCAGAAATTTCAAAACAATTTCTATTTCGCCACCTCAGATCCAATTTTTTTTCCACATTTATTAAAAATACTAATGTCAGGAATCATAAGAAATTATTTTCAAGTGGAACCAGGTCGGGGAGGGCAATGATTTTGATTTTTTGTCACGGATTTTTCGAAAATTTAGAAATTTTGAAACAATTTCTATTTCCCCACCTCAGAACCAATTTTTTTTCCACATTTATTATAGATACTAATATTACAAGTCATTAGAAATTATTTTCAAGTGGAACAAGGTCGGGGAGGGCAACGATTTTGACATTTTTGTTGTCACTGATTTTTCGAAAATTCAGAAATTTCGAAACAATTTCTATTTCCCCGCCTCAGATCCAATTTTTTTTTTCACTTTTACAAAAAATACTAATGTCCGGAATTATTAGAAATTATTTTCAAGTGGAACCAGGTCGGGGAGGGCAACGATTTTTACATTCTTTTCATCACGGATTTTTCGAAAATTCAGAAATTTCAAAACAATTTCTATTTCGCCACCTCAGATCCAATTTTTTTTCCACATTTATTAAAAATACTAATGTCAGGAATCATAAGAAATTATTTTCAAGTGGAACCAGGTCGGGGAGGGCAATGATTTTGATTTTTTGTCACGGATTTTTCGAAAATTTAGAAATTTTGAAACAATTTCTATTTCCCCGCCTCAGAACCAATTTTTTTTCCACATTTATTATAGATACTAATATTACAAGTCATTAGAAATTATTTTCAAGTGGAACAAGGTCGGGGAGGGCAACGATTTTGACATTTTTGTTGTCACTGATTTTTCGAAAATTCAGAAATTTCGAAACAATTTCTATTTCCCCGCCTCAGATCCAATTTTTTTTCTACATTTATTAAAAATACTAATGTCAGGAATCATAAGAAATTATTTTCAACTGGAACCAGGTCGGGGAGGGCAATGATTTTGATTTTTTGTCGCGGATTTTTCGAAAAATCCGTGCCAAAAATCAAAATCGTTGTCCTCCCCGACCTGGTTCCACTTGAAAATAATTTCTAATGACTTCTAATATTAGTATCTATAATAAATGTGGAAAAAAAATTGGATCTGAGGCGGGGAAATTTTTACGTATTATATTTTTCGTCGAACAAACGTTGGTAACTTCAGTTTCATTAATTTTTTCACAAATCTCAACAAACATTTTTATCAATTTTTAAAATTAAAGATTAGCACACTTTAACGATTTAAATTGTGATTGGTTTAAAACTTTACAGGTAATTTTTCTAAATTTATAAGTACATACTCTTAATTTATATTATCATTTGAAGTACATACCGTAACGAAACTTTATCCGCTACGATAACATTTAAAATATTAAATGTTACTTCAATGTAACCAAAAAATATTTCTGGATTTTTGTTAAAGTACACATTTAATTTATTAAATTAACATGTAAAATATATATGAAAAAATAAAAAATTATTCAACGTTAGCCGCACAGCACAAGATCTAGTGGAATCTGCACAATCTTCCTTTGTAAGTTTTAAAGAAGCTTCCTAGAAGCTCAAAATATGAGTCTAGAAAAAGCTACCTCTACACTTTCAAAGAAGGATTGGAAAGCTTCCCGGTATCCTCCAGGAAGATCTTGTGCTGTGTGAGTACCAATCACAATTTATTTTTGTTCTAATACAATTGACTAATTCAGTTCTCAATAAAAATACTCATTTTCTGAAAAATTTCTTTTATTAGGTTGGGATTATGAAGAAGTCGATTTAGATACTGAAATTGATTCGTCACAAGCAAGTAGTACTGATTATGATTCGAATAATGATGCTAATGAAACTGATGTAGATCTTGATAGTAACTCCGAGGCTAGCACTGATGGTGAAAATCCAAATGAATTTGAAGATAATAATGATATCGAAGATGATGATGATTTGCCACTATACGAGGGATCTCCAATTACTATAGGAGAAAGCATTTTAAGCATTCTTGCTCTAGTTTTAAAATTTTCCTTATCAGGCGTAGTTCTTGCGGGTATTCTACAACTAATTGCTTTGCATTGTCCCGAACCCAATTTTTGTAGAACTAGCTTGTACACATTTAAACAATATTTTGAGAATTTGCACACACCCGTTACGAGACATTATTATTGTCCAATTTGTTTAATTTTCCTTGATCAACAGGTTAGGCAATGTCCTCAATGTTTGGAAACAATAGATTCTAATTATTTCTTATCAATTTCTGTTAAAGATCAAATTCAAGCTCTTTATTTAAGAAGAGGTTTTCGAGATAAATTGAATTACCGATTTAATCGTGAAAAATTAGATCCGAATAATATTGAGGATATTTATGATGGGAGTGTATATAGGGATTTAAGTAAGCCTGGTGGATTTTTGGCAAACAGAAATAACATATCCTTGTCCTGGTACACTGACGGAGTGAAGGGTTTTAAAACATCGAAGTTTTCATTTTGGCCCTTTTATTTAATTATTAACGAACTGCCATATGAAGAAAGATTCAAAAAGGAAAATTTAATTTTAGCTGGTATGTGGTTTGGCGATGAAAAACCGTTTCCAAACTTATTTTTATCTCCTTTATATGACGAAATGCGCCAATTACATAACGGCATTGATGTGCGATTGTCAAATGATGAAGTGATACGTGTGAAGGGAATGATTATTTGTGGCTCCTGCGATCTTCCGGCAAAGGCGTTATTTCTAAACATGAAACAATATAATGGAAAATTTGGGTGTCACAGATGTTTGCAAGAAGGACAGAGATTGGGAAACCGGCAAGTGTATCCGTATAAAAAGAATGTTCTTCTGCGGAACGAAGATGAAACGTTAGAGCATGCTGAAAGTTTAAGTTTTGGAGTAAAAGGTCGAACCATATTGTCTAATTTAGTATATAAGTGGATAACAACTACATCACTCGACGCAATGCACATGGTTTTTATTGGTGTATTTAAATCATTGATGACTTTTTGGTTTGATCCTAATTTTGCTGGAAAACGTTATTCTATTCTCGAAACTGTGACTGTCGTGGATCAAAGAATTAAATCTCTCCTTCCACCAAACTTCATTCAAAGACGTTTACTATCAATAAAAAATAACATTAAACTTTGGAAAGCATCTATGTACAAAACGTTTTTCTTCTATTACTCTCTTCCAATTTTAGAAGATTTATTATCTGCCGATTACTTTGAACATTTACAATTACTAGTAGGTGCAATATACTTACTTTGTCAACCAAGCATTTCTCAAGAAATGTTAGACAATGCTACTCGAATGCTCAATGAATTTGTTTCTAGGTTTGCATACCTCTATGATTTGGAAAATATGACATGCAATGTTCATTCTCTTCTGCATTTACCTATGGTTGTTAAACTGTTGGGTCCACTGTTTGTTTATAATTGTTTTACTTTCGAAAATATTAACGGTATTCTGAAAAATTTAATTCATGGAAGCAAGTGCGCTCAGCTTCAAATGTATTTTGGTGCCTCCTTATTTATTAATACATTTACTTTACATAAGGAAATGCTAAATGTGGAAAGTAAATCTTATGCATTTTGTAAAAAGTTTTTATCTCCTACCAAGCAAATGAAACTGAGGCCTATAGGTGATTCTTTGTTTATAGTTGGTGGGCTCTCTAAAGTGCGCATCGACAATGAACTTTTAATGGGACTTATTGATCAAGGAATCGTAGCTACAAAGCATGTTATTTTTAAGAAATTATTAAAAAACAAGATATTATTTACTTCCGAAATATATACCAGGGCCAAATGTACAAATTCAAGTTTTGTAAAATATATTGATAATAATATATTCAAATTCGGAAGAATACACTTTTTTTTGAAAGTTGCGTATTGTGAATGTAGAAATGATTGTCAATGTCCAGCAAATTACTTCGTAGTTATAAAAAAAATTATAACAAATCTCGCTTACCCCTTGACTGTCTTACCAGAAATTGGCTTGAATTTTATACACCGAATCGAAAGTATTTCGAATGAAACTGATGTTTTAGATTTAAATTGTTTAAAAACTGTATGCTTTGAAAGTGAAATTATGCGAGAAAATGGACATATTGTACGGTATATTGCAGAACCTGTTAATACAATCGAAAACGAATAAGCTATTTAGATAATTATGAATTATTTTTGAAGAAGATAACAAAAAATATGATTATAGTTCAGTTTCAAAAAAGTGTCTTTCTTTTCTTATTTATGTTACATTAAAATTGGTCTTTAATAAAATTTGCTACTACTATACTACTAAAGTTTTCTCAAATTTTGTGTAATTTTAAACCCTTAGAAAAAAAATAACTTACTTTTCTAATTTTTTCACTTCATTTCAAAATTAAGAATTAATTAATGCATTCATTAATTAATTGTAAAAAATTTTAAGAATTTTTCTACTACTTATTATACTACAAATAAAATTTGAAATTTATAATTCCTTCTGAATACTAAATTTAAAATTTCATTATAAAAACGATTACAAAATTTTATACTATTTTATAGAAACTACAAGAAATTTATTTCTTCAAAATTATGTTTTCAGTAATCACCGAAAAAATTGGAAACGTTCAGTAAAATCCGACCCTATGATTAAATCTACTCTATAAATTTGAATATGTGAAAATTCACAAATTTGTAAGTTATAAGTCGCTCTCTCGTTCAATAAGTGCATATACATTTATAATAAGTGGAATTTCACTGTAAAAAATTCATTTATTCATAGGTGTACATGCACTTATTGATGGAAAAGACGACTTATAACGTATATTAAGTGTAATTTCACATATT